CTGAACCTTAAACCCTAAACCCCGGGCTTTAGGGTTTGGAGATCAAAGTTCTTGGGTACTTTGAAAGCTCTAGCAACTATTACAGCGACGAACTCGAGGAATCAACGGCGGAAGAGAGAACCGAAACCCGAAATCCTAAACCACCACCAACAACAACAACAGCAACAACAACAACGACAACAACAACAACAACAACAACAAAGTCCCAAGCCCTTAGAGTGCCAAAAACCCAACATCGCTAAACCGTTAGACGCCTCGAAATCCTTACACAACCATACACCCAGAACTCTGAAGCATGAAACCGGAGCCATGAAACCTTTTCAGCCGAAAGCCTCGGCGCCTATATCCCTGAACCAACGATATCATCGCAATGCCCTAAAACACGAGAAGCCAAAACCCCAACTCCTTGTTGCAACCGTGCAATCGGAACCTCAAAAGGCCTTGGGCGTATAGAACGAATAGGGCCCTTACTGATTAAAACCGCTCAATAATGCGCTCAGTTTGAACCCGCAAACGCTAAACCCTACCTATACAATCAAGTTTCAAAAACAGTTTACACACAAAAGCCATAACACACTTCCAAACTCGTTACAACCTCTCTTCACACCTAATAATGTTGCATCCTTATATCTGCCCTTGACCCTAAACCCTAAACCCCAAACCCTACACCTTAAACCCTGAACCCTAAACCCTAAACCCTAAACCCTGAACCCTAAACCCCTGTCTATTTCACCAAACACCCGCAGGGTCTCCGGCTGGCGTCTTGCGTCTCTCGAGATTCACGGGAACCTCGCAGGAAAGGCTTGTTGTTAGGGTCTAATCTAAGGGCCTTAACCAGTAGAATAGGGTTTTGGGATCCGTTATAATATTTTTGATAAGGAACCCCAAAGTAATATTGGTAATCTTACTTCGGCTTCTACATTAGACGGTATAGCGTTTAGGGCTTGGTAGGGGGTTTAGGGTTTGGGCTGGGTGTCTTCGGGAGGAGGGGGGGTGGGGTGGGGCAGCTCCGGGTGTTCGAACTTTATGGCTTGAGGCTTTCTAGGGTTTAGGGTTTA